AACTGGATTGACAGGACTTGATGAAGATGAAGATGAAGATGAAAAAAGGTGGCTGAACAAAACGGCCGGTTCGCCGATTTTTGACTTTTTTGCTTAGACAAGGTCTAGAGCCACGCTAGTTGCACCATTGGAGTCCTCTGGTCAAGATAAGGTCCTCTATAAAGTCTGGTAAGCATAGGAGCTCGTTTTCCCAGTATAGCAAGGCTGCAAAAGTCGTGGCAGCCATTTTGTTTGGGGTGAATCCTACTTAGTAACGCTACCGCGCTACTAATAGTATAGGGACTTTTGTTCGATTTTGGAGCAACTTTAAAAATTCATTAAAAAATCCAAACTTGATCGGAATCAGCTCAAACTTTCTACACAACGTAAGTACATGTATATGCATCAGGAAATGTAATAAAAATCAAGAATTATCTCCTTTTCAATTTTGGTCAAATTTGGTAAAAATCACTGTACTATAGTACAGGGATTTATGTCCAATTTTGGAGCAACTTTAAAAATTCATAAAAAATCCAAACTTGATCGGAATTAGCTCAAACTTTCTACACAACATAAGTACATGTATATGTAGCAGGAAATGTAATAAAAATCAAGAATTCTCTCCTTTTCATTTTTGGTAAAATTTGGCCTGCTAATAAAGTTCAGGGACTTTGGCCTGATTTTAAAGCCATTTCAAAAAATCCAAACTTGATCAGAATCAGCTCAAATTTAGCAACATAAGTGCAAGTACATGTATCAGAAATGCACTTATCTGGTGACCACACCTTCTCAATTGATATTATCTCTCCAACCCTCAGATCAAGTCTTGTTATATCAACAGCACGATTAGCAGCAGCAGCCCCGCCCTCTTTCTTACCCTCAGATTCTGTAAACAACAAACAACAATAAACAAAAACATTATCATGTGATATGTTCACTTACTCTCTCCTCCAGGGTATGCCATGTCCCTTAGTTTCTTCAGCGAGGGGTCACTGTTAAATTTAGCTCTAATGGGGTCCAGTAACTACAAATGGACATGCAATTAACACGTACATGTACATGTATCACAGAGTCTGGTATAATATTAATTAATAATGTTGTTATGACATTTAAATGTGAATAGAATTAAACTTTATTTAAGAGCTCAGGAATTTAATCATCATTAATTAATTACTTTATTTAATTCTTCAGCGACTGCGTTTTTAAGATCAAGAGGATACACTTCTTCTTTGGCGTAAGCTTCTTCCAATTCTTTATAGTCCATGAAACTAACGTC